GTCCCAGCTACTTGGGAGGCTGAGGCAAGAGAATCACTTAAGCCCAAGAGTTGGAGGTTGCTGTGAGCTGTGATGCCACAGCACTCTACCCAGAGGGACACAGTGAGACTCTGTCTCAAAAAAAAGAGTCCAGTGTCTCCAGTAAAGAAGAGTCTGCACCCTGCCTTTAGGCAGAAAAAGAAGGAAAGCTTTTCCTGCCTTTGCTCCTTCTTAATTGCCTTCATCTCAAAACATTTTATGTCAAAGTGGAATATTTTGGGGTGACATATTCCAGTTCGAACAAGCAGGTATTATCTAGCACACTCTTCCAGGTTTTCTGATTCCATGGGGTCTTTTTTTTTTTTTTTGTCTTTAAGCTATCTATAACTCTAGAGGTTGTAAAGAATTGGTAGCAATGCCAATCGACATTAGACATACAGATGAATCTTGTCTGGCAGAAGTTCAATTAACTCCCCTCCCCACTGTGGAGGAAGGCAGTTTGGCATTTATTAAGCAAACTCCCTGTCTGTGTTTACCTTTTGGATTCATCTCTGAACAAACTGTAGCATCAGACATATGGCCTCCTCATTAATTTACTTAAATTAAATCTTTGACACAAGTTCATCTTATAGTTGTATCAGAGTCATGCTTTTACCTTTTTAAAAAAAGATACGCTCTTAGCATTGCTAATAGCAAGTGCACGCCAAGCATAGTGGCTGCTTGCAGTGTTGGTGTTATCCAGAGATAACCATTCTTTCTTTGAGGATATGCAAAATGAACTGGCCTTTGATTGGAGACCTACCTCCTTAAGGATTAAGATACCAGGAGGGAGGAGGCCCTAGGTGGGCTGACTGAATGCATAGCACCCTTCTGAATATACAGATGCACAAGACACAGTCACATAAATTTTAAACTTTTAAAGCCGGACTTTTGCTAATTTGATGCATACTTTGCTTCCAAAATTCTGGCTGGAATAAGAATTTCTGGGAGCAGGAACTTTGGTAAGACGTGAGAAGGCGGTTTGCAGACAGTGTCAGTCCGAGACAGTGCTCAGCTCTCACTACTGCGTTCACCAATCTTAACAAACAACACACACTACTTACCAGTTTAATAACGAACACTAATCGAGCGCCTAATTCCCAGCCCTGGAGAAACGGTCCCGGTATGATAGGTAATCCAAAAAAATTAAATACATGTTGAAAAACCTTAGGGCTTATCAGCAGGAAGGGAGCGTAGCCATGTTCTAGCGGAGACTCAGCGGACCCCGGGAGTCAGGTCTCCACGCCCAGGCCAGGGAGCTTCTCCCTTTTCCCAACTGCTTTCTGGCTCAGTCATTTCCACTCCTTTCCCCTTTTTTCCCATTTCCTTACTTCTCATTACCGCACACCGGACAGACAACACCTAAAGTTGGCTGTGAGAGGCCGCGGCAGGCTCGGGTCCCCACGGCCCGGGAACGCGGTACCTGGTTTGACAGCCTAACGGCGCGGCGTGGACCCTGCGGCAGCCCGTAGGCCTCCTTCTTTCTCTTCCGGAGCTCCGCAGAGTGCAGCGCTTTCTTCTGGCCAGGGAGTCTTGATTAACAGACACCTCTTCCCAAGCAACTACCGGTCTGTAAGAGCCTCGGTCCAGACGAACTCTGCCCTCCGCGTCTCTACAAACAGCCCCACACGTCCCTCTCCGACGCCGGGAGCAGCGCGGCGAATAGTGCGCACGCGCGATGCCGCTGACCTCGCCAGGTTCACTTCCGGGGGTCGCACCGCCCAGCTCTCCGACCAGAGCTCCTGGCTCCGGCGTTTGCTCCGCTACCGCCTCGATGCTACCGGCTCGGTGGGACTGAAGGGATCGAGCCGAGCCGCGGGGCCCGCTCCAGCCCGGCCATGAGCGCGGCCGCATGATGCGTCCCTGCCTCGGCCGCTGCACTCGCCGCCGCCGCCGCCGCAGACCAGGAGGAGCCGCAGCGCCGGGCGACCCCGCCCGGGCCTCGGGTGAGTGCAGCGGGCTGGGCCGGGCCGGCTGCTCACGCCCGGCTCTCTCGGCCACTCCCAGCCCCGGGCGTGCTCTTCCCTCAGCCCCACTGCCCCCTGTCCTCCGCCCGCCGCGTGCCCGCGACCTTCTGGAGTTCCTTGGGGGCACCTCTGTGCCCGCACCGGACTTCCCTTGCAGGTGTCTCCTTGTCGCTCATCGGTTGATCTCTCCCAAATTGCAGCTCAGGCCTTTTGCCTGACCTTGGTCGTGACGCTTAGCTCTTCCAGACACACTTTCCCCTTCTGTGGCTAATGATGGGGTTATTGTTATAGAGTGGCTATAAACCCTTCTGTAAACCGTAGAGAGTGTTTTTATTGGCATGTATTACAAATGAGCTTTCTTGAACGTCGCGTTGTGCCTTCTCGAAGGCTCCTGTTTTTCTTCCCCCTTTACCTTTTTAACTTCTTTCCCCCTTTACATTTTTAACTTATTTATTATTTGCCGGGCTTCCTTGTTGTGTTTCCACCTGCCCCACGTCAGTGATCCTTGGTCAGTAGTTACCTGAAAGGGTATCTGGGACAATCAGGTCAGCCTTTAGGGCAGTAACACTCATCTCTCTTGAGGTGTCATTGCTTCTAGAACTAAGTCGATTTTTGCTGTCAGATAGATTCACTTTATTAGCTTATAAATAACCAATTTATTACGGCAGTTAAATTGGCAGTGTAAGAGGAACTGCTGAGGCGGCTGCCTGCCTCGTAGCGTCTTTTAGTGTATAGCCTGTGCACAGTGCTGCCCAAATACATGCTACAGTATTTGGCTTGCAATCTGCTTGATGTAGCAAATGTATTTGTTGTGTGTGCTATTGTTACTGTCTCAAATGGGTCCATAGATTTAGGTAATTATTTCTTTTTAAACTCTTCACCTCACACATGAAGAATCACGTCTATTTGATGACACCTCACAGCTTTTTCTTTAAGTCACATTTTTAAAAGTCACCTTGTTGGCAGGCTGTCCTGGCTCACACTTGTAACCTAGCACTCTAGGAGGCCAAGATAGATGGTTCCCTTGAGCTCAGGAGTTGGAGACCATCCTGAACAAGAGCAAGACCCCCATCTCTACTGAAAACAGAAAAAAATAGAGGGACGTTGTGGCAGGCGCCTGTAGTCCCAGCTACTTGGGAGGCTGAGGCCGGAGGATTGCTTGAGCCCAGGAGTTGGAGATTGCTGTGAGCTAGGCTGATGTCATGGTACTCTAGCCTGAGCAAGAACAATTTTTTTGTTTGTCTGTTTTTTGAGACAGAGTCTCACTCTGTTGCCTAGGTAGAGTGTTGTGGTGTTATAACTCAAAGCAACCTTAAACTTCTGGGTTCACATGATCCTCTTGCCTCAGCCTCCTGAGTTGCTGGACTTCAGGCAGCCACCACAGAGAAAGGGTGCAAATTAAAACTACTCGAGGGAAGAAGTTCATAGGGTGGAGTCAAGGGAAGTACCAAATGGGGAAGCTTCTGTTGTCCTCTCCCTGTGGAGTCAGAAAACACTTCTTTCCTGGCATTGATGTATGGCAATGCACGTGTGTATGGAGTACTGCCAGCCAGGGAAGCTCATCTGAGTCTTGGTCTTCAGTTTTTATCGGGGCTCCATTACTTAGACATGATTGCCCACATAGTTGGTCTCAGTTTCCACAGATAGACTGAGAATATGTGACCCAAAGCCTCCGCCCTAAAATCACATCACTGGTTTTTCTAATGTGTCCAGATCACACCCTAAATCATTGTTAGCAGAGGGCAAAGGCCAGACGTTTTTTCTGGGTAAGGTTCAATTCTTCACTATAAAGAATGCTTCCTTTTTGAGTCTTCTTCCTACTTAGAGATACTGTGTACTTATTTGCTTTGCCATTGATGAATGAATATCCCTTCGAAATTATAGAGGAGACACAGGCCATTGGGAGAGCTCTCTCAACCTCAGTTTCCTTCTAACTAAAGTATTTCCCCTTGCCTCTGAGGAAGAAAGTCCCTGTTTCCTGATGGTAACTCTCTTGTTTGCTTTGTCTTTCAGTTAAGGGGCTGTGACCTCATCATTTACTGTCCCTTGCTTCTTTGATTTTTCTTTTGCTGGCTCCTTTGCCTCTGTGTACAAACATTTTCTTTTTCTTCTTTTTTTTTTAAGAGACAGAGTCTCACTTTGTCACCCTCTGTAGAGTGCTTTAACATCACAGCACACATCAACCTCCAGCTCTTGGGCTTAGGTGATTCTCTTGCCTCAGCCTCCTGAGTAGCTGGGACTACAGGCGCCTACCACATTGCCCAGCTATTTTCTTATTGCAGTTTGGCCGGGGCTGGGTTTGAACCCACCACCCTCGATATATGGGGCCAGCACCCTGCTCACTGAGCCACCGGCGCCGCCCAACAAACATTTTCTTTTGTTAATTTTAGCCCTGCTTGCTATTAAGTTCCATTCCATTCTTGAAAAATATTTCGGTAAAATCCTGTTAATTCCCTAATAAAATCTAGACTTCTTATGAGGCCCAGGCAGTTCCTTATTTTGGTACAGCACCTTATAGTTTTGAAAACATTGTATTCTGCAGTGCCTTGTAGGTAGTAGTACTTAAAAACTGATGAATGGAGCCCTCCGGAGCGATATGGCAGCTCTTTGCAGGCTGAGTGTCCTCTGCGGTGCCCAAGGAGGCTGAGCTCTGTTCCTCCGAACCTCAGTGGTCAGACCTGCTTACGTCTCAGCGTTTCTCCAGGACCGACCTGCCCCAGGATGGTGTGGAGTGCAGCACATACACCTGTCACGGAGCCACCACTCTGCTTCCCAGGCTGCGTCTCTCCACTGGACTAGTGAGAGGCTTGCCAGTGTTTTGCTCCTGGGCCTGCTCCAGCTGCTTATTTGAATCCTTGTTCTGCAATGGACTGCTTACTCCCTGGCTGCAGCCCTGACTCTCCACAGTCACTGGGGCCTTGGACAAGTTGTTACTGACTGTGTTCCTGGGGACACATCGCAGAAAGCTGCCAAGACAGGCCTGCTGACTCCTTCAGCTTTAACCTTTGCTGGGCTTTGTTATTTCAACTATCGTGATGTGGGTATCTGCAGAGCTGACGCCATGCTGTGGAAACTCTGACCTTTTTGACTTCATACCTTAAGAATCGATTGCATGCCTCTTTGCCTCTGCTTTGTCGTGCCATTCAGCTCATGATAAGGAAGAAATAATTAAGTCCATTGGTGGACAAAGCTCTTGTTACAATCATGTGGTTATTTTCAAATGTTGATTTTTGAGGGAAAGCTTTGAGAGGTATTATGGCCAACAAATGTTAAGACCGAGTTTCGTATTATAGTGAGTTAATGGAGTTGTCTCTCAACTTCTAACAAGACTCAACAGTTTAGCAAAACTTTATGCAGCTTTTGCCTTTTATCAGTCTAAGAGATTTCAGCTTTAATACTGTCACACATGATCAGACTTCTATATTTGTTCTGAGAATAAGGGACAAAGGGAAAGACAGTTAATTCACGAGTAATGACTTTGCAGACAATTGGATGGTTTAATTTTTGAAAAAATCCCTCTCTGCTCAGTGGATGCCAGCGACTAATGGTTACATATCCTAGGGAAACTCTAAAGTTAGGAAATACTGATCTCTCTCTCACATTCTGAATTCCTAAATCCTAGGAAGCAAAGCGTGGAGAGCTTCGGAATGTGGAGGAGTTCCATGTAAGAACTCGATGCCCCTTGTAGATGTATCAAAATACTATAAATTCTAAACTGAGACTTAATCCTCAAATGTGTTTTACTTGTTCTAAAATAATCTGTCCATAAATATGATGTATAAGTAATACATTGTTATTTTCCCATTGTAGAACCCCAACATGAAAATACATTCTATGAAAAGAATTTTTTTTAAATGTTGTATAATAAAAATATATGCTACTCTTTTATGTAAAAAAAACAAAACAAAACTGATAAGTGGTTTGGCTAGGCAGAAAGAAAGAGGGACAAGGAATTCTAATTGGAGGAAACAGCAGGAGCGCAGAGATGCCAGCAGTGAGGTGGTTAGGGAATCAAAATGAGCCCTGGGTGAAGAGAGCGGTGAGATTGCCTGGAAAGGTCGGAAGAGCCAGATTCAGAGCCTTGAATCCTACAGGCAACTCTAGCAGGTTTGGGAGCAGGCTGATCTTGTGACCTGTGCTGTGATCTTGTGACCAGTGTTGTGATTTCTGATAACTCCAGGAGGGAGACATGGAGGGGGTCACTGGAACCTGGTGAGGAGAGTTAGAACTGTAAGTGTGAAGGAGAAGGTTGTGTCTAGAGGTTTAAAGGTGTATGAGGAATGTTGCTGATTTAGAAAAAAAGCCTGCCTCTGTGTTAAGCCGAGAGGTTTGGGTCACTGGGGAGCAGTGCAGTCCCTTGGCAGCACCCAGTGAGGAGGGGCAGTCAGCTAGAGACAGGCTTTTATAGTTCATTGAAATGTTTTGAACTCTCCACTTCCTTATTTCCCATATTCCTTTTATTCATTACAGAATGTCCTCTCCACAAGTGAGTGCTGGGGGAGGCCGTGTATTTTAGTGGAAGAAGGTGGGCTTTGGAGTCAAAACAGTCCTGACTCCGTCTTTAATGTCAGAGGGTTTGAGCGAGTTACTTCACTTCTTTGGAAGACTAAATTTTGAAAATGAGCTAGTAATAGAGCCTAGCTTTGAGGGTGACGGTGGGATTAAATGAATCATGTGTGCACCATCACCCTAAAAGCTGGGCGCATAGTAGCTGTTCAGTAAATAGCCTTTCCTTTCACTCTCAGATATCCTAACATTGTCCCTAACTTGTAACCAGACCTAAATATATTACTAGCATATCAAATTTTCATAGTCATCTGAATTCTGGTGAAACTGGTGTTACAAAAATGCATTTCATGCTAAACAGAGAGGCTCTACTTAGGAAGGGGTGGCAGAGGTCGGGAATTCCAGTCTGACTCAGGCTCAGTCATTCCCTGGGCAGGACATTTACAGAGGTTTGGAACTCCAGGTACTGGATT